ATAAACAGACGGCGGGGCTCCTTCAAACTCCCGACTCAGCAGGTCTGACAAAGTTGCACTTCTAACAAGTTCCTAGCTGATGCTGATGCTGATGCTGATGCCTGATGTTGCTGGCTGGGACTTCACTTTGAGAGCCATTGATCTAGTGTGTTGGTGAGAAGATCTTGGAAATGTTTGACCAGCTCAATCAGGGAAGCAAAGATAACCAAAAAGGAGGCAAGAGGTAGATTTCTCAGGGGTCCAGGAGTGAAAGATCCAGTGTGGAGAAAGCACAGGTTTAGTGAAGATAAGAGCAGGCTGGGGGCGAGCTACCAGGTGAAGGAGTTTCAGAGTTTGAGGTCTTGAAGGATGGGAATTCCTAATGTCCATGAGACCTTACTGGTGGTTATAATTATAGACTAATGGAATCCAAAAAGGATTTTTAAGCTGGGTGAACTATGGGCAATTAGATCCGGAGATATGCCACTTGGCTTCTTTGTGCGTTAGGGAAGTGAAAGAATGATAATCTGAAAGGAAGAAGTGATGAAAAAAAAATTAGTCCAGCTCCTGAATTTCATAGATAAGGAAGCCATATTTCAGGGAATCTGAGTGACTTGAACTGTGTCACCCAGCCAAGGGGGTTGAAAACCAGGACTCCCTTCCTGAGCATCTCCCACTGTGCAGTGCTACCCCTCACCACAAGGGAGGGCAAACTACAGCAGGCCTGGCCGTTACATCTGCATGCACTGCTCTGTGGTTTACTCTCAAAGGTTTTCATCACCCTCCACAGCAATTAGCTACATATATTAGGGTCGAGCTCAGTTACAGGTTGTGCAACCTTCTCCTTGTCCTAGAGGAGCTTCTTTCTTAAAAAGCTAATTTTTTTTTACAAGGATACTTATTCATTCATACCATTGAAGAAAATTAAGCGGGAGCTTCAGAAAAGCAGTCCCTCTTTCAGCTCTTTCCCACAGCCCTCTCATGCCCTCTTCCTTGTAAAAGAGCTGTGATAAATTTTGCATTGTAGGTAGGCTGGAAAAATCTAAGTAGGGGCCTTCTGAGACTTTTGCATAGAAACTCAGAGGCCCCAAATGAAAACAGACATAACTGGCCTGGCCCATTTTATGTAGATTTAAAAGAAACAAGTTGAAATTAAATAATTTACTGCCATTTTCCCCCACACACACCTGCTTAATGATCTTGATCTTTTGTTTTTCAGAACTTGGTCAAGACCCCAATCTTATGCTTTTATTTCCTGAGAAATACTACAACCCCCAGCTTGATACTTCAAATGTCTACTGGACAGCCAAAACCAAGAGCACATCCTTCCCTTTGTCCAAAGATTCAGGGGGAAAAGGCTTGCTTAAAAATGTTGGGTGGGAAGCATCTAATACTGGTAAGTTGGCTTGTAGTGAGAAAGCCAATAGATATGAGATTGGGCAGCTCCAATGGAGTTGGAGGGGCTGAGAGGGCAATAGCGTCTGGGGATGACAGGCTTGGGGAATTAACCTTCATTTTTCACTTATCCTGTGTTGGAATCTCTGGGAAGGGGAGAAGCAAGGATAAAATCAGTTAGTATGACCAAAAGTCTCTAGCAAGGTGCCTCTGAGAGATACCTGAGACTAGAGATCAGAAAGGAAACTCCCAAGGGCTTCTTTGGAAGCCTCTCTCTGTCCCAGGCTAAGTCCCTTGTTTAGCCCCTGACCTGTGGCATGGCTGCACCCTTAGAATTCAACCCACTCTTTTTTTTTCTTGTTTAAAGTATTACAAATAGTAGTACATATGTCTCCTCCGCCCCCCCCCCCCACCCCCGCCATTGACCTTCCCTTGGCCTCCCCTACCCCGCAGCACTCTTTTTGAAAAACGCAATGGCTGTTTTTGCAGCACTGGATTCCTTGAACAGGAAATAGAAGCAGTGGGGGATTTGAACCCTGACCTCAAGGCCTTTCTAAGTTGGACAGCAAAATAAGACATATACATGAAACAATGACAGGAAATATAACACATAGATTCTAAACTATTTTTATATAGAAAATTTGAAAAGTAGATAGAATATATATATATATATATATATATATATAGCCAGTGACCGGAACGCCATAATGACCTAAACAACCAGTTGCTCTGATGCCCACTGTGGCCAGCGAACCAGCCCAATTGGGGGTGGGGCTGGTGGCCAACCTCCCACAACCCCTTCCCCTGGCTGCCTTGCCCCTGATTGGCCTCTCCCACCCAGATTGAGGGTGGGTCAGCCAGGCAACCCTCCACGGCCCTTCCCCCCCTGCCAACCCTGTCCCTGATGGACCCACCCTACCCCAATTGGCCCACATCCCTCACCCTGCCTGGCCCTGCCCCTGATCGCCCCCCCTACCCCAATAGGGAGCAGGGCTGGCCAGCCAAACTCCTGCAGCCCCTCCTCCTGCCCAGCCCCACACCAGATCGGTGCCCCCACCATCTCTTCCTCCCAACAGGCCTGACCCCAATCTGCCAATTGGGACCAGGCTGGCTGGACCCCACCCGTGCATGAATTCATGCACTTAGGCTTCTAGTAGTATAATAACCATTCACATAACTATCACCAAACTTCAACAATTATCAACATCTTACCAATTTATTTCATCCATTTCCCTCTTTTAAAATTGTTTAAAATGCTTCCTTAATTTGAAGGAAATTCCAGACGCCATTCCTGAGCAGGGCAGGCTTCGAAACTACAGACATCTCCTTTAGCTGGGAAGGCTGGAAAGCACTTGCATATTTGGTTAGGGAGCTTCTAATTTCATTTTCACAGAAGAAATGAAAAAACTCCAGTAGCCTAAGGGCAGACTCTGATGAGTTCTGGCCTAGAATTACACAGAGACAAACCATGTTCCTTTCTCTGGCTTGGTTCTAGAGGGACAATGGAGGAGTTCGCTCCAGTGCATTTCCGAGATGAATAGGCTATATTCCAGAAAAGCTCACATGCCCAAGGCAGGGTACACCTCCTGCAATCTGTTGGTCGACCTGGATGTTGTCAGAGACTTGTCTTCTGGAGCCAGCAAATACCGGGACTTCATCCGTCAACTGCCCATCCATATCTCCAAGTATATTCTAAGTATGCTGGGATGTATTGGGGATTTCTCAAGAGTCTTCCCTTTGCAATCCAGTTTATAGGGTCCCAGGTTTATCTATTTCCCCCCAGGTATGCTCGATAAAAGCACCCTGAACAGATGTGCCGCTGTGAGCCAGCACTGGGCTGCATTGGCAAAGAAAGTCAAGAAGGACTTCTCGATACATTCGTTCATTCACAACCAGATCGCCTTACTGCAGGTACTCCTGTCGGGAGGGGTGGTCTGCAGACTGGCCTCACTTCCTCATGGAAGCTGGCTGACAGGAGCCTTTCAGTCCACTCAGCAGACCCTTTGAATGGCCTCCTGTTGCATTTTGCTGCTTCACAGGCTTCAACAGTCACTTCCTTTTTGTGTGAACTCCCCATTAATCTATACCATTGTGAGCACATTGAGCAGGGAGAACATGTAGAAACCTTCCTGGAAGAGAAAGGCAGAGCCTTGGAAAATCATGTGAAGCAGGGAATCACCTCCCCAACCCTGCCCCAACGTGTGACCCCCGGCCCAGAGAGCTGCATTGTGGCTTAGGCCAGTGGTCGGCAAACTCATTAGTCAACAGAGCCAAATATCAACAGTACTTCTTCAAAATAGACTCGCCCAGGCCGAAAACCGACTTCTGCACATGGGCCATGAAGTTTCAATCGCACTGTACGTGCGCCCGAATGTGGTATTTTGTGGAAGAGCCACACTCAAGGGGCCAAAGAGCCGCATGTGGCTCTCGAGCCGCAGTTTGCCGACCAGGGGCTTAGGCAATCAGGAAGTCATGTGTATGTTTCTAGGTCAGCCTGACACAGTACACAGATGTCTACAAGGCCACAAAGTCTATTTGTAAGTTAAAATGCAATTTTCTCTGGCATTTTTACTTTTTCTTTTTGCCTGAAGCCTAATTCAAATCAAGGATTCTTGGGAGCTAGGATTTTTTCCCAGCAGAGACAGATGAGAGAAGAGGAGAAGAAGCAGGCATGGTGAGGCAGGTCATCCTCTGGAAAGCTGGGAATGGCTGACCATCTCTTTCTGGTCTCGTTCCAGATCTTTAGTATCATTATCCTCCTTAAGCCAGTCTACACACACTATTGCCTTACTGGCCAGGCCCAGGCCCCCCTGAGTCAGAGCTTACTCCTCTTTCAGATCTTGCCAAGCACTAGTTTAACCTTCCTCTCAGAGAGAGGAACCAAGAGTAGCCATTTTCTGTTTTTCCCCCAGGGGTCCTACACAAAGGGAATAGATCCCACCTATGCCTGCAAGCTTTTCGTCCCAGTTCCTAAAATGACAGATGAAATAAAGCGCACACGTGCGAAAAATCAGAAATGGAAACTGAGAACAAAGGTGGGTTCTGATGGCATCGCGGGCAAATAACTGTGAGAGTCATCTCTTACTGGCCAATGAAGGCTGAAGTCCAGGCTCAGTCCTTAGATAGGGTATCGGAAATGGGAGGATATGGAATATAGCATATGCATATAGGATATTGGAAGTGATATTCCCTAAGGAAGACCAGAATTCCGTGCTATGTGTCCTTCAGCTTAAGTTGCTTCCTTTCTTTAAGCCTTCAATGCCTCATGTATTAAACAAATAGATTGATTTGGTTGTCCTATCAGGGTTTGTCCTTACTTCAAATCCCATTGCCATGTCCCCAGAACCAAGCCATCTGGTGCAGAGCTCAGAGCGAGGAGCAATGTCAGTGATAGCTAGGATTTTCTTCCACACCCATCAGTCCATGCATCTAGACATTCTAGAACAGGGGTCCTCAAACTTTTTAAACGGGGGGCCAGTTCACTGTCCCTCAGATCGTTGGAGGGCCGGACTATAGTTTGAACAAATTCCTATGCACACTGCACATATCTTATTTTGAAGTAAAAAAACAAAAAGGGAACACATAAAATATTTGTATTTGCATGTGGCCCGCGGGCTGTAGTTTGAGGACCCCTGTTCTAGAAGCTACAGGAGTCTGTGGCTCTGGAATGAGAACAGGAGGGCCAGTCCAGAATGTCCAGGGTCCAGAATGAATTAAACTTTCTCACCTTTCACGTCCAGGTTCATTCTGATTCTAGGATGGAAGGGGAGAGTTACTTAACCATACATCTCCCTATCAAATCTTAGGCAATAATGAAGAGCAGATGGAAGACCCTGAACTCTATGTTCTGCCTATCCAGGCATGGTTCATTCCTAGAACCATTAGATTACTGCTTCCTCCTCTTTGCTCGAGGGCCTTCTATTTTGAAACTATTCAATGGGTTTTAAAATAATATTTAATGAGGGGTGGTCAGACTGTAGCTTCCCATAAGAAAACTGCATTATAAATTATAATTTGAGAAATAGAAGTGTCCAGAGAGACAATCTAGTTCATATGTCTGTAGAGACCAGACAGGGCCCATGAATGAGGGAGGTGGTGGTGTAAGTAGTAAAGGACAATAGAACAGTGATGGGTTAAGCAGCGGTTCTCAACCTGTGGGTCGCGACCCCTGCATATCAGATATTTACATTATGATTCATAACAGTAACAACATTACAGTTATGAAGTAGCAACGAAAATAATTTTATGGTTGGGTCACAACATGAGGAACTGTATTTAAAGGGCCAGAAGGTTGAGCATCGCTGGGTTAGAGGGTTCACTTCCCATCTAAAGGGGCCAGTTGCTACTCAGCTAGAGCTAATTATTGCCATGGGAGACTGTGAAGCTCAACCTAGACCACCTGAACTTTTGAGAGAAGTTAGAAACCTGAATTATCATGTGACATTCTTTGCTTTTTTAAACGCTGGCAACTAATTAAAACCATTTTTTTTAAATATGGGCCAAGGCAAATACATTTGTTTACCTCATTTGACTTGCAATTTTTTAAATCTTTGAGTTAGTCCATTCACTCATTCTATAGATAAAGAAACTAAGGCACAGAGTTTCCGGATCCTAACCAGCAGAATAACAGGCAAATACAAGTGAAATGCTGATCTGCTCTTCCCAAGCCTGTTGCTCTGTTGGACATGATGAAACTAACATGCTTCTTCCTTAGGTGGAAGAGCTATAATTGCCTGACAAACAAGAACCACCCAGACAGTGTTCAATATTTTAGAAATGTATAATTTAGGAAAAGAGAGATGATGTGGAGGCCAGATGAGGTCATGTGAAGCAGTGAGACCAAACAGTTAAGGGGTCTGCTAGGGAAAGGTGGAGGTTGAGTGCTGCTGAGGGGTGCTGATTGCAATGGGTACTGAGCTCAGTGTGCCAGGAATGGCGCCTAGGACTTTGTACACATTATGTACGTGATATTCACCACAGGCCAGGTATATAGCTTCAGTTTATGGATGTGGAAATGCAGGCCACGTTGCTGGAAAATTTGCCCAAGCTCTTATAGCTGGTCAGTGGCAGAGCTGGAATTTGAACTAAGGTCTTGTTCCTCCCAATGACTCTACCATGTAGATTCTAGGTTCTCAAAACATAATTGATGAGGAAGAGCCAAGGAATTCCAGCCCTACTATGAGAAGCCAGGGAAGCCTCATTTAATTCAAGGCTGCTTGGACTCTGGAGGGGAGGCAGTTGGACAGGTTCTTCAGAGGCTTGTAGGTGAATATCACTACTTGGTTAAGATTAAGAAGGAGAGTAAGCTGAGGAAAGCAGCCGTCCTGAGGAAGAGTCTACAGGCATGACGACGCCTAAGGTTTGGAAGGAGACTTAGGAAGAGGTGTCCCTAGGTCTGCCAGATGCAAACATGATGGTTTGGTCTTCTTTGC